TGGAGCAGCGTGACACCCCCCCCCCCCAACAAAAAAGAGAGAAGTGCCTGGGAATTAGGTCTTTCTGGCACCAGCCCCAAGCCAGTGACAAAACTACTATGGGAATACAGAATCCTAGCTTCTTTGCATAGATGTGGGATGAGCTCAGAAACCCTGGTGGCATAGTGGTTAAGAGCTACGGCTGCTAACCAAAACGTTGGCAGTTTGAATCCACCAGGTGCTCTTTGGAAACCCTATGGAGCAGTTCTACTCTGTCCCATAGGGTCACTATCAGTTGAGATCGATTAGATGGGTGTGGTCTTTTGGTCTGGGATGAGCTCAGGTTGCTATGAGTTGGGATTGACTAGACGGGTTTGGTTTTTTGGTTCGGGATGAGCTCGGAGGTATAATTTACACATCAGAGCTCCCCTCAGGATCAGGCGGAGGCTGGAACTTCTTCTGAAATTGCACTCTTGCTCAGCTGCTTCCCCTTCACTTCCCTGGTTCTTCCACTCTCTTACTAGTTCTCCTGGGATCATGTCCTTAATCAATCACTTAACTCTACTCCTTGTCTCAAGATTTTCCTCTGGGAGAACCCAATTTATGACAAAAAGCATAATACTTAGGTAATACTGTATCTCTTAATGCAAGTGCCAATCAAATTTAAACTAAACTTCCTTTAGCTTATGCCCGTATCATAGGTTTCTGGACCAGCCGCTGCTAAAATAATTTGTATTTGAATGTAGCAACCTGTTGCCGTCGAATTGATTCCAACTCGTAACGACCCTATAGGACAGAGAAGAAATGCCCCATAGGGTTTCCAAGAAATGCCTGGTAGATTCGAACTGCCGACCTTTTGGTTAACAGCCAAGCTTTTAACCACTGCATGACTAGGGTGCCTTAGTTTATTCAATCTCCAAATATTCATTGAGCACCTACTATATGCCAAGCATTGTTGGAAGCTCTAAGACAAGTTTGTTAAAGGTAGGATACATGATCTGTCTTCGGAGAATAAATAATCTGGATGGGGAGGAGGTGGGGTTGGAAGATTTCGTTCTACTCCCATTTCCCTCAGAGCTGGAAGGGGTTTGGTGTACCACAGTCGTTTCCCTGCTTCAAGGTGACCTGGGCCCCTTAGCACTCGTCTAGGAGGTGGGGAGAAGCAGAAGTCATGGGGATTTTAAATCGTGACTGCTGAGGCAGTCCTGGCACTGGGGAGACCACTGGGTAGCTAAAGGGGAGAGGGTGGCTCCGTGGTGGGTGTGTCATTGCCTGGGACAGAAGGGTTTCCTAGGATGTGGGCTTTTGATTCCAGCACCAGGGAAGTTAGCAGTGGCTGCTCATCCTCTGTGTTTGCGTTCCCAGTGTGCAGGCCTAGTGTGTGATTGCACTCCTGGTAAGAAGACACTCACTGAATCTCCTGGTGGGCATTGTCTCTTTCCTGGTGGAGACATGGAACTTGATCCTCTTTTGTTAATTTCCGTTAAAATTCCCCAATAAGAGGCATTTGTTTGTGTACCAATGTTCGGCGAACATTTGGGGAGGTGGCGTGACTTAATAGCTTGGAAACAAACATCACACACACATGCACACACACACACACTTGAATTGGAATCACACACACACACACTTGAATTGGAATGATACACCTCCTTTGACATCCTATCCCTGTGTCCCTGGGATAACGGACTCTCTCTTCAGGCCTTCGCCATGTTGTCCAGTCTCTCTGTCTTCTCCCTCTACCCGCTTTTCTTTGTCTCTGTCTTCTGTTCTCCACCAGGCCCACATCCTCAATTATTAATGAGTTTGAATGATTTATTGGAAAACCCTGGTGGCACAGTGGTTAAGAGCTATGGCTGCCAACCAAAAGGTCAGCAGTTCGAATCCACCAGGCACTCCTTGGAAACTCTATGAGGCAGTTCTACTCTTTCCTATAGGGTTGCTATGAGTTGGAATCAACTTGATGGCCATGGGTTTGGAACAGTTTACCTGTCTCTTTTTTGCCCCTTTCCAACCTAGGACCAGAGGCTTCACCTCTCCCTGCAGTGTTACTTATCAAGGTGCTTTCCTATACCAAGTCAGTTCTTTCCCCTGGGGTGGAGGATGCTTCTCAGTGTTAGGCTCTCGGGTACCTGGAATTCTCAGCTAGTGGACCTCTTGCTGGAGGTGTGGAATTGCCACCTGGCACATCACCATGAACACTGAGTGCCATGATGGGGACCTCAGAAGATTCCCAAACTGGGAAAAATCTCTGGTTTGAGGCAGGAATGAGAAAATTCTCCATGTTGGAAAAATATTAAATATTAGTGTTAAAGATGGGAGGGCTGGTAGGGACAACACTCTTATCAGTCCTCTTATGGATGGCATACTCTTGTGCAGAAATGTCCACGTATCATAGAATCAGCACCCATTTAAGCCCCCTTCCCCTTCTGGAGAGTTTAATAGTCCCTGTGGGCAGATTCCCCTTTAGGAATTTATTCCTAACTTAGTTGGCGTGTCAGTTTCTTTTGAAGTTAATTTTATGGCCAATTATCTCGGCACCTGTTTGTCCAATAAATGATTAATCCTTTAAGAGAGCTGAATACATGACTAGATAATGCATTGTATCTGTGGATAGCTTAGAAAATTGTAGATGTATAGAATTCAGACTTTGAAGATCTTCCTGCCCTAATCCCCTCATTTTAAATTTGAGGAGATTAAAATTCTAGAGAAGTAGACCTTGCACCCAGTTATCTCTAGCTGGAATAAGGCAGAACTTGGATTAGCCCCCACCACTGCCTTGCATCTGGAGATAGAGGTCTTCCCCACACACGTGGATCCAACCCTGGTTACTGGCAATTGTAGCCATCCCCAACCTTCTAATGCCAGGTCTTGTTCTATGTGCTTTACATACATTAATGAATTTAGTCATACCCATAGCCCTATTTGGTAGCTATTCTTATAATTATCATCATCATCCCCCTTGTATAGATGGTGAAATAACTTGCTCATCACCACACAGTTATTAAATGGCAGGGCTTGGATTTGAACCCAGGCAGTTGGGTTTGCAAGCTAGGCACCAAACCCCTGCCTCTTAACCATGTCATGCAGAATGCGGATGTACCCTCTGAACACTTCCTGGGCTCCTCCTATTGTTGGGAGTGTTTGGGAAGAATCAATAATCAGCATCTCCATTGCTGTCCAGTCGATTCCAACTCACAGCGACCCTATAGGACACAGCAGAACTGCCCCATAGAATTTCCAAGGAGCGGCTGGTGGATTCAAACTGCTGACCTCTTGGTTAGCAGCCAAACGCTTAAGCACTGATGCCACCAGGGCTCCAATCAGCATCTATCCCTAATCAATAGGAAGCAGAATAATTGTTTCCAAAACTGCTTTGCAACTATCATTAAAAAAAAAAAAATCACGTATGAGGAATTATTTTAATTGTCAGATAGTTTTTTTAAGATTCCCAAGAGAAGTTGCCTTTCTTGATTTTTTTTATTCATTTTCTTTATAGCCAGAAAATTGTTCCTTATTTTTACCTAAATCGCTCCTGTTGCAGCTGGTCCTCAGAAACCCTGGTGGCACAGTGGTTAAGAGTTTGGCTGCTAACCAAAAGGTCTGCAGTTCGAATCCACCAGGTACTCCTTGGAAACCCTGTGGGGCAGTTCTACTCTGTCCTGTAGGGTCTCTATGGGTTGCAATCGACTTGATGGCAATGGGCTTGGGCAGCTGGTCCTTGGAGGATGTGAAGGGCAGTTTTCCATCATAACTTCCCAGAGGGAGCCTTCCTCTTTGAAGAAGCTACTTCCCACTTCAGGATACCTTTTGAGGGTAGATCACATGTTCTAGATATTCTCTTGACCTTTCTTCTCCTTCCCACCACCAGTGTTCAAGCAAGACCAAGGCCACCACACCAACAGCCTAATCAGACTTCCTGCCTCTAGTCTTGTTTCCTCATCTCCCCAGTGTTTACTTTCTTAAATGCCAGTCTGAGAAAATTGCTTGTTCTGTGTCAAAATGTCCAACAATTCCTAATTTTTTAACAGCTTTATTGAGCTGTAATTCATATAGCATATGATTTACCCATTTAAGGAGCCCTGATGGCACAGTGGTTAACTGCTTGCTAACCGAAAGGTCAGCAGTTCAAATCCACCAGCTGCAATTTGGACACCCAATGGGTTTTTAGTAGATAGTGTAGCTTATTGTTAATGGGATGAATGTTTTTAAGTTTGGTGATTGTCTTAGTTTTTAGTGCTGCTGTAGCAGAAGTACTACAAGTGGGTGGCTTTAAAGAACAGAAATTTATTTTCTCACAGTTTAGGAGACTAGAAATCCAAAGTCAAGGCACAGGCTCTTGGGGAAGGCTCTCTGTTGGCTGTGGAGGAAGATTCTGGTCTCGATTTCTGTAAGCCCTGCCTTCCTCAGTTCCTTGGTGATCTCCATATGTCATCTGTCTTTCTTCCTTTATACTTGCTTGTCTGTGTCTGATCTGCTCTTTTTATATATCAGAAGTGATTCCATTTAAGATATACCCTACACCGATAGGCCTCATTAACATAACAACCAAAGTCTATTCGCAAGGGGATTATATCCACAGCTATTAAAATAAAAACAGTTACCATTGGGTCGATTCTGAATCCTAGCAATCCTATAGGCTAGAGTAGAACTGCCCCCATAGGGTTTCCAAGGCTGTAGATCCTTACGGAATCAGATTGCCACAACTCTTTTCTGCAAAATGATGAGTGGGTTTGAACCACCGACCTTTTGGTTAGCAACGGAGCACTTAATCACTCCACCACCGGGGCTCCTTTCCATAGCTATTAGGGTTAGGATCCCAACACATATTTTGGAGGACACAATTCATTCAGTCTGTAACAGTGAAGACATCAAATTTAGTTCCTGATTTTTTTCCCAATAAATGTATTTCATGCAATTAAGATATTTATGCCAAAATGTCTATATATCAGAATGAGATACTCTCATAACGCGCTCCTTTGACTGTGTGTCTTACTGAGGGTACTCTTTTTCCCTTCCAGTTTTACGGGAGCCCTATACAGTCCGTGTGGAGGACCAGAAAACCATGAGAGGCAATGTTGCAGTCTTCAAGTGCATTATCCCCTCCTTGGTGGAGGCGTATATCACTGTTGTGTCATGGGAGAAAGACACTGTTTCACTTGTCTCAGGTAGGCCACGCGACACTGCGTCTCCAGGGCGCGACGGGCTCGCTTTGTGCAAGTTATGCCACATATTGCATCTACGTTTCCATTTATGCGCTTGTTATAACTACGAATTGGTCTACTGAAGGATGATGCTCTTTCATAAACAAATAATGTGTTTTTTGTTGGTTTACAATGGTTCAGTCAAGATAATCTGGTGCACTGATCAATGGTTGGCAATTAGGTCCTTGCACTATGAGCATAGCAGTTGTATTGCTTTTATGAGGAAATTGTGGCTTTATTTCTGCTTCTAAAAATAAGAAGGTGGTATTTTTGCATCTTTGTCAGACCTCACTGATATCCCTATGACTGAAATTCTTATACAAAAATCTGGAAAATAGAAGCCCTGATTTCATGCTTCTTTGATCCTTATAAATGTCTAAGATTTAGCTGTCTCTCTAATGTCTTTTCTGAACATGCCATTAAGAATATATAATCAGTACTGAAATATATATTTGTACATAAATATTTTCTTAGCTTATTTTTGGTACCTAGAAATTGCACAATGGAAATTTAACCTCTGGGAAATGGAGGTTCTTCATTTCGAATGATATTTAAGTTGATTTCGTGCTCTGTGCTATTTGTGTGGAAAGGCCAAAGAAGACACAATGCTCAATTTCCCTATCTTTGCTCATCGTTGGATAATGACTGTTGGCATCTCTGAAAATATGTTGGCTGCTTTTGGGAAAGAGTTATGATGTGCACTTTGTATGGTCTAACATGGAATATAAATAGTTGCCTTTCTTTACATGTCTTTATGCGTGCGTGCGCACACACACACTGGCAAACACATTTTTTACAAATGGATTTTAATTTAATTCTTGAATACCACCAAAACTTTGTCCACTTACAGAAGCTGGAGCTAAATCTTCATGGTGATGCACCGTTTTTGTTTTTTCATTTATTGATTAGCTAGACAGTGTAGATTACTATACAATCAGGATCAGAAGCCATTAAAAAATCCAAATAAAAAATAAAACCTTTTGTCTTTAAAGATTGCATAATCTAGGATATGGGAGAAAATAGAAGGTTTTTAAAAAATTTTTATTTTTATTTTTTTATTGTGTTGTAGGTGAGAGTTTACAGCACAAATTAGTTTCTCATTCAGGAATTTATACACAAATTGCTTTGTGATGTTGGTTGCAATCCCCACCATTTTTCAGCACTCTCCCCCTTTCCCTTTCCACCCTGGGTTCCCCGTGTCCCTTCATCCAGTTTTCCTGTCCCTTTGTGCCTTCTTGTCTTTGCTTTTGGGCAGGTGTGCCCATTTGGGCTCCTATACTTGATTGATCTAAGGAGCACTTTCCTCATGTGTCATTGTTTTATAGGCCTGTCTAATCTTTGGCTGAAAGATAGACTTTGGGAATGGCTTCAGTTCTGAGATAGCAGGGTGTCCAGGGGCCATGACATCGAGGCTTCCTCCAGTCTCTGTCAGGCCAGGAAGTCTAGTCTTTATTTGTGAATTTGAATTTTGTTCTATATTTTTCTCCCCATCTGCCCAGAACCCTCTATTGTGATCCCTGGCAGAGTGGTCAGTGATAGTGGCAACTGGGCACCATCTAGTTCTTTGGGGCTCAGGCTGGTGGAGGCTGTGGTTCACGTGGTCCATTAGATAGAGTAGGAGTTTTTGATTTTTCTTAATACTGTCTTTACAATGAATTCAAAATCCTTCACATTTCACTGAGCAAAAAATTCCTTGCTGTTTTGTTGGTTAATTGTCATGATTTGTTAAGTTGGGGCACTAAAAAACACCAAGCTTAAGAACTGAAATATGATCGCAGTAATCAGAATAGAGACCCATTTATCCACTCTTTGTTTGCTAGTTTTGATTGTTTAATGGCTTTAATCTCATTTCCTTAGAGTCTTTTTCATTTTCTTGATGGCAGCTGCAGGGATTTAATGACAAGTGTACTAAGCAAGAGGAAAAGTAGGTAAATGTCACCTGTTTTTGTTGCTAACTTCATGGTAAGTCTCAGCAAGAATCCAGTTCCCAAAATGTGGAAGTGGATCCAGTCCTCAGATTCCTGTTTCTCCATTCTGTCAAGCAGCACACTCTCTCCAACTCTAGTCGTCGGGAACTGGGTTAGAGCTCACAAGTTAGAAGGATACTTTCTTTCAGACTGACTGCCCATGCAGCCTTTCTCTGGCCCTAGCCACCTGGAGCTAGGTCAGAGCTCACAAGTTAGAGGACACCTTCTTCAGACTGCCAAATAGGCAGATGCCAGCCCCTGCTGGCTCTCACTGCCCCTGTGGGTTTGTTAATACACTGGAATGACTCACAGAACTCATGGAGAGTACACCATACTTGTGGCTATAGATCTGGTATTACAATCAAAAAGGAGTCCCAGTGTGGAGCTTCCATGTCCCAAAGAAGGATGTGCTACCCTCTCCCATCATAGTCACCAATCAGGAAGCTCTTTGGAGCCTCAGGGTCCAGGGCTCCTACTGGCTTCACCACATGGCCATGATAGATTACATCCTGTCTCCTGAGCCTTAGTCAGCAACACTCACTCATTAGCCTCAGATGTTGATCCAGCTAGAAGGAGCCAAGAACGAAGGACAAATTGCTTTCTGCAAGGTGATTCCATACCTTTCAACAAGTTATCTAGCTGAAGCCAAAGTCATAGTGGCATGGCATTCAGATTTACATGGTGAGGGTTGTGGATTCAGGGAAGGGAAGACTTTTTGGTCATTTTTACTGTCTCCAACACTCAGAAACATAGGCTGACAGCATTTCCACCATCTTATAACATGCTACCCGAACATGAGACTTCAGGGTCTGCCCTGGCAGGGGGAAGAGAGTGTGGGAGAATTACAAACTGGCTGTTAATGCTTCCACATGGAAGTGATTTGTGCCATTTCTATTCCTATTTCACTGGTCAAAGCAAGTCAGCTGGCCATGTCTGACCTCAGTGGGCAATGTGCAGGGAAGCAGAGAGGAACTGGAAATCTGGGTGAGAAATAGAAGGATCTACCACAGAAGTGGTATATAAATATAAATAAATATATACACGCACATACACACAAATAACATACACACTATACCACATATATAACATATTCAATATATGTATTCCACATCCATAAACATATATATGTATTACATATATGTATAATACATGTGTTCTTATACTTCCTAGACTTCTTTAATTAGTGGTATACTCAAATGCAGGTTTCACCTTTTGCCATCTATGTGAATAGATTTTGCTTTTTCTTCCCACGTGGACCTAATTAAATAAAATGACAGATGTTTATATCTGGTGAGTGGAAGGATGTTTGCATGCAGACTGTAGAGTTTACAGTTTGCTGATTGGAACCAGTGACTCCCGTGTGCTCGCCTCGATCCTGCATTTAGCTTCATCCTTTGGTAAAATGTTAAAAGCAACAACATGTGCTGCATAGAAGCACTTGGCTCTTCTTTCTTGACCAAGGTATTTAGAAAACAAATATAGTACAGGCTTTTAACGCGTTAAGGAATACATCAATCTTAAGTTTTTGTTTGCTTATTCGTTAGGAAGTAAGCCGTTTATCCAAACCCAAGATATTCCAAAGATGCCCTATGTGGCAGAGAAAAAAAAAGCATAGTAGTTTTCATACTCAAATATTTCAGTCTGAGTCAAATAGACCTAGAATTAAAAGTGACCTTGCAGATGAGACTAGGGCTCCCAGGTGGCGGTTACGACCTGTAAGAGGAAAATGCCGGAAATTAGGCCGTATAAGGTGACTTGCTGTTTCTCACTGCTAAAGCCTGAGATCTGTTCCCTGTGCCTGAGCTCACCCACCGAGCTGCCAGAATTGCCCAGGGAGGGAAGTCCTGAAGCCACTGGTGGCAACAAACAAGGCTGACAACATTTGGAGTCTTAATAAATAAACCAGTTTCAGATGATTTAGATGGAGACAGATCATGTTTCTGTCTGGTGGCTGGGGCCTCCCCACTACTCCAACCAGTTGCCGTCAAGTTGATTCCGACTTATGGCGACTCCAAGTGTGCAGAGTAGAACTGTTCCACAGGGTTTTCAATGGCTGATTTTTCTTTTCTTTTTTTTTTTTATTGTACTTTAGAGGAAGATTTACAGAACAAATAGTTTCTCATTAAACAGTTAGTACACCTCTTGTTTTATGACAATGGTTAACAACCCTAAGGCATGTCAACACTGTCCCTTTTCAGCCTTGCGTTCCTTATTACCAGCTTTCCTGTCCCTTCCTGCATTCTAGTCTTTGTCCCTGGACTGTTGTGTCCCATTAGTCTTGTTTTGTTTTATGGGCTGTCTAATCTGTGGCTGAATGGTAAACCTCAGGAGTGACTTCATTACTGAGCTAAAACGGTGTCCGGGGGCCATATTCTCAGGGTTTTTCCAGTCTCCGTCAGGTCAGTAAATCTGGTCTTTCTTTTGTGAGTTAGAATTTTGTTTTACATTTTTCTGCAGCTCTGTCCGGGACCCTCTGTTTTGATCCCTGTCAGAGCAGTAAGTGGTGGTAGCTGGGCATCATCTAGTTGTACTGGACTCAGTCTGGTGGAGGCCGTGGTATCAATGGCTGATTTTTCTGAAGCAGATTGCCAGACCTTTCTTCCAAGGTGCCTCTTGTGGGTTCGAACCACCAACCTTTCTGTAGGTAGCTAAGTGCTTAACTGTTTGTGCTACCCAGGGACGGCTTCCCACTTCCCAGTCCTCTCTTTATACCCTATGGACTGAGCTGCTGGAGGGAAGCACTGGGACTCTTGACTGCAGGGAAGAATCTCACCAAGCACAAAGGTCCCTGGGACCCTGCTTCATTCTGAGTTAGCTCAGCAGATGATTTGTACATTGTCAGTAAACTGATAACCCCTGTGACTTCTTGTTGAACTCGTTCAGATTGATTAGTTGTCAGTGGTCATCACCCCACTCACTCTGCCCTGGACACCAAGTCATCTGGCCTGCAGTGAATCTGGCTGGGAAATGTGTCCCAGGAAACATGCTTTGCTGTGC